AAGGGAGACCCACTCAGGCTAAGGCCCATCTGTTATCCCAGACGCCCGCCCTTCCTGAGTGCACGCACACCTGCTCCATCTCAGCAACCATTTTGAGACCTGGAGATAAGCCCATGAGTCTGACAACAATCATCTCACACTGGCTCTTTTCTAATATTCCAGACATGGCCCTATTCCTCCACCAGCGCTAGACAAGCAGGCCTGGCGATTCCAGGTTTGCTCTCCACCGCCACTGGGTGGACAGTGATGACATCACCAGCCAAGGATGCTGACTCATGAGTGTGGAACCCAGGCCACCTCCTGAAAGGGCCAGCTTTGGGGGAGGACACTTGTTCCTCTCCAAAGGCCCAAAGACGCCCTTGTATTTATTTGCATGCCCTTTACAGCCATAAAAGCAAACTCAGATCCTCAAGTGCATTACATAACCGCTTTATAAACACAGTAAAACAGGAGAAATGGCAGCGCCTGGACCTCTAACACCCATCCAATTGTTTTTGCCAAATCTCCAGTGTCTGTCCAATTAAATAGGGCCAAGGGGAAGTCTTTACTCAATGCTTTCCGACACCAGATTCACTTTCCGGCTCGCTTTCGGAAGGTTGAGAAACAGGAGGCCTTGAGAGGCACCATTTTTCTTCACCCTTTTTGACTTTGCTCTTCGGAAGACTTAGGTTTCTCTATGAAGCTGCACGAGGTTCAACTTGGAAAAACACGGAGAAGCGCAGTCCTTTCAGTGAGCAGAGCAGAGGAAAACGTGTTTCCCTGACCTGCACAGTCGGTTTATCCAACTGCCAACCCACCCTCCCGACCCCTGAAACTGCTGGGCTCGAGAAGCACCCGCTTAACAGGAATCAACAAATATTTCTTAAGCCAGCCTTAAAACCAACTACTTGCGTAATAAAGAAACCAAAAACCAAAACCCAACAACTTGCCCATTTCACCTTTTCCAGTGACAGCCCTTGCAATTTCAGCCGTATTTAACAGAAGCCACATTTCTCATATTTTGTATCAGCATATCAAATAGAACAGAACTAGCATTTTCTTCTGCACGCAGAAACACAATTAAATATTGATTTTTAATTTCCCATTTCTGTCATAAAGATCGCATATTATGGGAAAAAGAGATTTCTAATTCTGATGGAATGTAAACCCACCTTAGACTTACAAAATACATGTCTGAGCATTTCCTTTGTTTTTAAATTTATCTTCTGTTATTACTTGAATATTTTGATTGAGAACTATGGTCTGAATTTTGTAAACTCGTTAGCACTGGGTANGTTATTACCTGAATATTTTGATTGAGAACTATGGTCTGAATTTTGTAAACTCGTTAGCACTGGGTAGACTTCATGAACTATTGCATGAATAAAGCGTTAAAAATTAGTGAGCATTTCGAAATTCACCAATTAACCAAAAAGAGCACCGTCAGGGTCAAAGGCAAAACAACGTACTTGGCTTCCACCCCAGGTGCTCTGAGAAATGACTTATTTATAGCCCCACATGCAGGAGGCCTGTAGCCAGAGGAATGACGCAAGAAAAAGCGTTTACCCTCCATCTACCCACCCCTGCCCTGGAGACTGCGTTTGGTTTGGTTTCCTGTAAGAGGAAAAATATCACCTATTTTCTCATATACTTGCCCCAAATCAGGAGCACAGATTTGGCTTCTCAGTAGCAACCTTTTTATCTGCCCAGAGAAATACCACAGAAAATATTTATTCCCACATCTCCAACATGCAGGGGGCTACCATGGCCAAAGTTCTGTAAAAATAAGTGGTTCATTATTGCTGATGTATTACTGCTAGGACACTGGAAATTGTGAGCCTCTCACCAAAGGTTATAAAAAGCTACTTCATTTTAAGTTTCTAGTGTAGCTTCCTCCTGCCCCCAAATCATCCTATCATTTTAGAAAGAGCTATTAAACAGTTATGCCTTGTCTCGGCACCCTTCAAGTTAATCATGGTGCAAAATTCTTTGAAGCAATAACACAGATGTACAGCACCCTCTTTCCCACTCCTTTTTTTTTTTTGTAGCTTGTTTTCTGTTCTGGAAAATACAATTACCAAAATACAGAAAGCAAACACTTAAACACTGAGTAGTAAACATTCAAATTCATTAGTAAGTCGCACTCACCCTCCCAAAACACTAAAAACTGGAGCCACCGTTATCCCCTGTCAGGAAACCTGATGGGCTAGGGCCATGCACCTCCGCAGCCAGTCTGAAATCCTGCCTCCTATTTACCAAGGCCGAGACAGCTTTGGTTTTCACCCACACGGGCTTGACTTTGGCCTTATTAACATCCACTATAACCAAATGTCTAGTTCAAAAAAGATCAAGTTTTGGGCTTCAGAGAGTTAAGACCACACTTGTCTCGTGTGCAACTATTCTTATCTATAAATCCAATCACAATTATACTAACTCTACCAGACACCTGTGAATACCACATGGAATTGTCCAATTATTGACCTAGATAAGCTGGAAATTAAAGCTACCAGAATGAAACAGTGAAACTAAAGGCCGAGCTATCAACCATCTTCATAAGCTTGCGATGACAATAATCATTTAAACTCACAGTTAAAAATTTGTCATTTTGATTTACATTGTAACCTTCACAAAAGTCACTATAAAGGAAGTTAAAAAGCAAATGACTATAGACTCTAAGGAAGTGTTTTGCAACACATTAAACAGAAATCTATCCAGACTAAATTAATAAAACCCACAAGTCAATAAAAAAAAATAACATAAAAAGGAGGCAAAGATTAAGGAGAAGCAAGTTAAAAAAAAATCCAAATTTCCAGTAACTTTATTTCTAATATGCACACCCTCACTAGTTATCAGGCATATGCAAATTAAAATGAGATGCTGCTTCTTATCCAGACTGGCACACATTTTAAAAGATGGATCATTCACATTAGAATGACTCCAGCAGACATCAGATTAAATGAGATAACCTGGACCACAAAAGGCAGTTCCTTTGTGACGATGCACCTTGGGCATTTGTATTTTATATTTTGTGACGTGCCTAGTCATGCCCCAGTGACAGGTGTGTAAACAGGTAAAATCATTCTAGGAAACAACTGGATAGTACCTAGTAAAACTGTGAATCTAAAAAACAAAAACAAAACCTGCAAATCTCAACACTGCCCAGCAACACTGCTTCTGGATATATCCCATAGAAAAACTTTCAAACTTATCTGTGTCCAAAGAAACACACAAGAGACTGTTCACTGTCATACTGGGTATAATGAAAAAAAATAAAAACAAACGAAGGAACAAAAGTGTGGCCTCTTCAAAGCATGAAGCAGCACATAGAGCCTCAGGCAAGAATTAACAACAACGACAAAAGGTAGAGGAATCAAAACCAACTATGGCAAAAGAGTTAAGTTATTTATTGAGGGGTAACTAGGAATATGCCTGTTTTATCATTTTTATCTTTCAATTTTTTATATTTCTCAAAATGAAAATTCCCCCAGCATGGCAGACTGCCTCGATGAACAACATGCCTGGATTCCACATCATGATGTGTCTGCTGTCCCAGGAAAGCTGAACTGAGAAATGCAACAGTGGGAAAGGGCTTAAGGGACCTTCTGTGTCTGCTCCCCCACTTCTTTCTATATCTTCATCAGACTTTTTATATTTCCATGAACAATTCTAGGAATTGACCGAGTTATAACTTGTTAATTTTACTCTGTGGCATGCCTCTGAGTTTTTTGATTACACAAGGCTTCTCTTACCCTCCATTCCTAGAGTTGAACTACACACACACACACACACACTACAGTTCCCCAGAGACCACAGTACAGTTTTGATTGACTGATGGAGAAACTCCTCAAAGCACAATGGATCATCTGTGACGAACCTGGGTCTTACAGGTGTACAAAATACAAAAGACAGCAAATGGAAATCAGAGAGAAAGAGAAAGTGGAACTTTCTTTGCCTCTATTTTAAAATGTCAAAAGAGCCCTAGCCTGTGTGGCTCAGTTGGTTGGAGCGTCATCCAGTGCACCGAAAGGCCTTGGGTTCGATCCCCCGTCAGGGTGGGTGTGTGCAGGAGGAAACCGATCAATGTTGATGTTTCTCTCTCTCTCTCCCCCCCTTCCAACTCTCTCTAAAATCAGTAAATCCTATCAGGTGGGGATTTAAAAAAATGTCAAAAGAAAATTACTTGCCACATACTTGACAAAAGGTTAATATCTTACTAATATGACAAGAGGTTAATACTGCTAATATTCAAAGAGTTTTTACAAATTTGTAAGACAACAGACTCTCTAAGGAAAAAAAGAGACAGTCCTGGCCCACGTGGCTCAGTTGGTTGGGCATCCTCCTGTGCACTGCAAGGTTGTGGGTTTGATTCCTGGTCAGTGCACATGGCACATGCCTGGGGTTCGGGCTCAATCCCTCGTAGGAGGTGTGTAGGAGGCAACCAGTTTAATGTTTCGCTCTCGCATCATTGTTTCTCTTTCTCTCTCCCTCTCCATTCCTCCCTCTCTCAAAATCAATAATTTTTTTTTAAATGGCCAAGAAGCATAACTAAACACCCACCATTTAAAGGGTGAGGGCTTCACATATATCATCTTAGTTAACCTTCAAAGCAACCCTATAGGACAGCACTTCCCACGAACATTTGTGCAGGTAAAGGAGCATGTCCAGGATCTCAGCAGATACACAGAGCCTGCCCTGATGGCTACAAATCCAGAGTCTTAGCCACTGAGGTTCACAGAAGAGAAAAGATGACTGGCTGATCGCCTCGTTGGGGAGGATCTGAGAAAGGAGGCCTTCTCAGGTAGCCTTCCTGGGGGTGCAAATTCCAACAGCTGGGCAACAGGTATCTAAGGTGTTTTCAATGTGCACCTCCTACTACCCACAACCCCACTTTGGGAAGTGCACACTAAGATCATCTCAAAAGTTCTAAAAGGTACACGTAGGTCTCATAAATTCCTGTGAAATGCACAAAGGCAATCTTGATAGCACTGTTTATGACAAGGACAAATTACAAATTTAAGCGTGTCCGTAAGGGACTAGTCTGTGGCATATGTATGCAGGGGAACAGTAAGAAGCTCTTTTATACTAAACTGGCTCTAGGGGAATATACATAGTACGATCTCATTTAAACAAAAACCTGTACGTGACTCTATATGTGTATACGGAGAGATGTTTTCCAAAATTTTAAGGGTGGTTTAATCTTTGATCGTAGGGGTTCTGATGATTCTTACTTTAAAAAAATAATAAGTTTATTTGAGCCAAACTGACGACAAATGCCAGGCAGCAAGATCTCAAATGCTCCCAGGCGATTCTTTCTTTTGCTGTTCTGCGTTGTTCAGACTTTGTCTTACCTATCCTGTTTACCAACATACGAGAACTTATTAAACATCAAAGATTTGTCAACGTTTAAACACAGAGAGCGTTGCACTCGGGACTGAGCAAACCGTCCACCTGGGATTTGTTACAAAACTAACTACTCCCCACCCTCACCGCTGCCACCAGCATCCGCGGGGGAGACAGCGGCGCCTCCTGCGCTACCCAGCTCCACCCACCTGTCCAAAGACCCAAAAGGTTCTCCTTTTCTCAGGAGAACCTCCAAACACTGGCCCCCCTCGCTCCGGACCTACTCCAGCTCACCCTCTCCGCCCCGCTCCGCTTCCCGCGCCCACCGCGCGCCCAAAGGGCCGGGGACGCGCGGGGCGCCCGCAGCGGCCAGGTCACTCCCACCGACCTATGAACCTCCAGGGTCCCACACCCGCAGGGACACCCCGCCCCCGCAGCTCGCGTCACTTCCCCTGGCTCCACGGCGCCCCGTCCCCGCAGCCGGGAGACCCCTCGCCCCTCTCGGAGCACCCCAATGCCCACCGGAAACGCTACCTCGCCCGCACCCCCGCGTCCCCGATCTGGGTCGGGACCCCCGCCCCCGCATAGCCCGGGCCGCCCCATCTGGAGCAGGTCTCCATCCAGGGCCTGTGGGGGACCTGAGACCCTCGAGTCCCCCCCAGGCCCGAACCCCCCATGAGGCCCCCAATTTACGGCAGGTCTGTCCAGGGCGCCTGTGC